TCTCTAAAAGGTTCGCCATCACTGACATAGGCCCATCCCACCCAGTCAGGCAGGGAAGGTATGCTGCAGAGTCTGTCAGGTGAAGAATTCTGACTGACAGGATCTGGGAAGAAAGCCTTCTCTGCCATTGCCCCTGCCCTATGGAATATTTTTCCCCTCCTCAGAAGTGAGATAAGCCCTGGCTTTCTGAGAAGGACTTAAACCATGGCTCTGCTGCCTCATATGGAGAGCCCAAAGGAGCATGGAGCTGTGGGGCTGGTTGGTACCATGAAAGCCCTCCCTTTGCTTCTGTTAATTAATTTTTAATTATGGCCTTAATATTGTTTCCTTTTTAAAAAAATAATTCTAACATCTTAATTCTAACATTTTATGTATGTTTTATTTTGACATTTTATTGTACACTGTCCAGAGTTCCTCTTTTGAGGGAAATGGGAGGTTCAGAAATGTGAAAAATAAATAATTGTGCGTGCTAAAGGTAGCACTACTTCAGCCCATATTAACTTACTGCTCCCTAACATAATGTTACATACTGTATACTTCTCACCCTGATGCCATTTGTAGGGATGTGGTACAAGACTGACAAGTGATGTAAATCACTTCTTTCTTTGCACCTATAACGACATACTTAATGGAAGGAAGCAAAGTGTGCAATTTAGCAAGCTTTGCATTGTAAATCCTTTCACATGTCTATGCTAAGAAATTACTTAGCAAGCTTTGCGGATTGCATTATACTATTGTAAATCACTCTCACCTTTGAGCCTTTTATCCTGCTTGTCCCAGTTAAGAGAGCAGGACAGCATGAGTTTCCAAATCAGATGCTGAGGGCAGAGAAAGCAGCAGCAGCATATTCCATAAACATATTGCTAGCAAATTCTTCGACTGAGTTGTAACAAGATGACAGAGACAGTTTAAAAATAGGATCATGTGACCTCCTGATGACTAGGGCAGGACAAGGTCTACCTGATCTCCAATGGCCAAAGAAGAAGCTGATCTACACTCCGTTTCAGAGTAGGAAGCAGTTCAAAGGTGAAACAGGGTGGGCATGGACTAAGATGTAATGGCTCATCTATTTGACTGGTATCCAGTTTCTACTCCATCTGCAGCCACAGAAGCTCATGTGATGACTACTTCACAGGATTATTGTGAAGAAATATAGGAGGATGCAGCATTATGTATGTGCCTTGAACAAAGATGGGATATAAATAATGTGCACATTTGTGTGCCAGACAAAGGGCCACATAAAGCAATAAGAATATAGATAGATAACCTTTATTGTCATTTTTTTTACTGTGGGCACAGTGGCACACATTAAAAATGAAATTTGTTGCCTGCTCTCAAAGGTGTACACATATATAAACATGCTGTACACATATATAACACATATATAAACATGCTGTGTACATGCATACCGTGTTTCCCCCAAAATAAGATCCGGTTTTATATTTTTTTTGCCTCCAAGATAGGCACCAGGTCTTATTTTCAGGTGATGTCTTACTGCTATAGCCAGGCCTCCCATGCCCCGACACCTGTCACAATGCTGTCTGAGTTCGGAGGACAGGGGAAGGAAGATGTGTTTTTCTCATGCAATGCAGGTGCTGCTCTGCCCGCTTCACCAGTGTCTTGCTGTTGAGCGACCAAGCCTGCCTACTTGTTAGCAGCACAACCTGAAATTTGATGCTGCTAACCATCTCCACAGTATCCAGCCTTTATTTCTTCTTCTTCTTCAAGTTACTGCTTCTTTAAGAGCTACATCATGCAACCATTCCTTGCTGCAGGACGAGTGGGGGTGGCAATAAGGGATTGCAAGATGGGCAGGGAGGCTGTCATGGAATCTTCAAAATAGGCATCATGATTACAGCAACAGCCTGACCACAGCAACAGCTGGAAACAGCTGGAAACACTTTTCCAAATCTCATTCCTTTGGGAGTCATTGGTCCTGGATTTTGGACACATTCTGTACATTAATCCAGGGGTCCCCAACCCCTGGGCCGCAGCCAAGTCCCTGGCCCATTAGCAACCAGCTGTGTAAGCAGCAGGTGAGTGAGCGAAGCTTCATCTGCACATGAACGGGATCTAGGTTGTGCACAAAACCATCTGTCCTTGGTCTGTGGAAGTCAATTTTTTTTCCAAAACTGGTTCCTGATGCCAGAAAGGTTAGGGACCGCTGTTTAACCCATTTGAAGTATCTTGGTTCAAAAATTGTTGCACTACAATCCATTATTTGTTAAATTTATTTGCCGGCCATCTCGCTGTGGGGCTATTCTGGGTGGCAGAGCATTGGTAATGGCAACAACGCCCAGTTATTGGTAATGACAAGAGTTTCAGTAGTATATAGATAATAGAACCAGTTTGGTCTAGTGTTTAAGACACCAGGCTAAAAACTAGGAGATTTTGAGTTCTAGTTCCACTTAGGTATGATAGCCAGATGGGTGACTTTGAATCAGTCACTCTCAGACCACCCCACCTCACAAGATTGTTGTTTTGGAGAAAATAGGAGCAGGAATTAATGTTAGATATGTTTGCTGTCTTGAGTTATTTATGTAAGTAATAAAGACAGAATTTTAAAAAGTCTTATTTTAAAAAAAAAAATCAATAAAATTATTTGGATGTTTCACTTTGGTTTGAATCAATTGTCCCTGAATCCTAAAGGATTTATTGGCTGAAGACTGGCCACCAGGTGGCAGCGCTCCCTCTGCTCCATCCAAAAAGTCAGAAAGGCATTGTGGAAGAAAGTTGACCTGCTATTTATTCATCACACTAAAACAGTATCAGGCCCAGTGATAGGATTCAAATATGTGAACAACTGGTTCTCTGTGTGGATGCTGCTTCTGGAAGTCCATTCTGGGCCTGGACAACAAAAAATTAGCTACCGGTTGTGCCAAACAGGGGCGAACTGGCTGAATCCCACCACTGATCAGGCCACAATATAATACAAAATGGAGACCTTTTGCTTGGAGCAAACAAAACAAGCAATCTACTCTCCAGAAGCAATGAGTTGCAAAACTCAAAAATGCAGGAAACATGAAAGAAGAAAAAAACTGATCTTTTGGGTCAGCTCTTTCAGGCTCATTTTTTATGAATAAGCACTGTAGTGAGGGGGAAATCATTAGATGCCCTGCAGGTGCTGGAAACTGTAGGCTTCAAAGCATCTGCAGGGTAGCAGGGCAGGGCCCTTGGACCAAGATAAGGCAATGGAATCTAAAGCATATGGACCGTTGTTCCACGTGATAACTTTCATAAGCTAATGAACTCCACAAAGGCTCACAAACTTAAATTTCAATAACTGACCTCATAGCTTTCTAGAAAGTTATGAAACTGGACATTAGTATAAAACTGGATAACTAGATAGAAGAAAAGTATCTACAGAGGTATATGAAATGGCTGTTAACTTATCAGATAGGGCAGATACATTAACACAGAATAGAAATATTTACCTAATTGAATGCAACAGCTTGTTACATTGCTACCAAAATGCAATAATTTTCATATCTATTGTTTCTGTTCTAAGATTGTTTCCACAACGTGTTAAAATACCATGATTCATTCATTTACATTTTAGACAAAGTAAGAGCATCATTATTCTACTTTTTGTGACCCTCCTGAATTACAGCTATGAAACCTGACCTGCAAAAGTCTAGACAACTGCTAGATGTCAGCAAATTTCTGCATTGCTTTGCTGCCATTTAGTAGTCATCCAAATTTGGCATCTGAATATTTCTAATGCTTCTCTGACTTGCTTTCTTTTCTGCAAGGATTTCTTACATTTTTTGAGAAGTGTGGATACCTTTAGTACAATGCTTTTGCTTTTTAAAGAAGTTACTCTTTTAAGTTTAGTAGCTGACTTCAACTAGCCTTACAAGAGTGCACACATTTGGTAGTAGTTTTGTTCTATGAACTGATCCAACAAGCTGATCTTTTCAATATCTATTCTAAAATAAATAAGTGGAATATAGGGATAAGCAGATTCATGTATATCTATTCTACTGTGCTGTAATATTATTGGGGCAATTGTCTGACCTGTTACATTTTCTTTTAACTCATGTTTTCCCCCCAGCAAAGCTGTACAAGAGCAAATAGGAAGCAGGGTACCATTGTCTTCATCTGGCCCAAAAATGAGTGCCAAAAGTACATCTTGACAGTGCCTTGCCTTCAGATCTTTTCCATACCTTGTAACATGTTGATGGGATAACAAGAAAAAATATGCATGCATAGGCCTCTGAGAGATTGTGTGAGGGCACCAAGCCATTAAAATGGCTTAACTGTAAGGCACGGGTGTCAAACTCGCCGCATCACATGATGTGTCATGACGTATCATGACTTTTTTCGCATTGCTGGATCTGGGGTGGGGTGGGCCTCTGCATGATGCAACGGGCCCGTGGGCCGGCAGTTTGACACCGCTGCTGTAAGGAGTCCTGGTACCCTTCTTTATAGGTCTGTTGTAATAGTTTTCAAGATAAGATATGTGACTCACGTTGACATTTGTAAATATTGTGGTTGTTATTAAATTATTATTTTCTGGTTTACTAAGAAAGTAAGACCTTAGCATTATTACAGTTCAAAGTACCAAACTGAGAAAGGTTGCATAAATCAAGCAAATATATTAGAAACCTTCAAGTTTCATTGTCTCTTAAGCTATCAGCAAATCCATTCATTGTTTATAAAAATAGTGTTTTTAATTATCTATTATTCTCAAGATTTTCCTGCTTGCTTAAAAATAGCCTCTATCCTATTTTTTTGAAAGAACAATGAAAAATCTAATAGTACTAGAAAGGAAGTGATATTTAACAGGAAATATATTGTGACTGGAAATATTATTGCAATAAATGTTTAAATAATTCCTATCTTCAGTCCATTGAGGAAAGTATCTAGATTCCATTATTTTCATTTCTAAATAACTAACCATTTATAATTATATATTTGTATGTCATGCCTCAGTCTACTGTGGAATGGTATGATGGGAATATTGTATTATTATCAGAAGAGCACTATAAAACTCACCATTGATTTTTAATGAGTTTATTGCAAGATCATAGCCAAAAAGTACACTATCATAAAACACCATAATCATCTACATTAGCCATTAAATTAAAAAGAAGAATCCACCGAAGGGTTTTGTTTTTGTTTTTTTGAGGCAAATGTTGTGGCTAGCTGCGAGTTCTAGTCCTGCCTTAGGCATGAAAGCCAGCAGGGTGAACTTGGGCCAGCCTTTCTCAGTCCAAAATCACCTTACAGGGTTGCTGCTATAAGGAAAATAGAAGAAGGAAGGAATATTAGGTATGTACACGGCCTTGAATTACTAAAAAGTAACAAAGGCCAGGTAAAAATCTAATAAATAAATAAAAATAATATAAAGAATTTCTTTTGACTTAAAACTATTTTCAGGTAAATATTTTTACTGCTTTCACCAGCTCTTTCCTATGTCTGTAAAAACAATACAATATTTAGAGTAATTTAAAAATTAGAGCCATTAGTACATGCAGTAAACTTCACAGATGATTGGTGGTCAGTACTGTTCAGTGATATTACCAGTTGTAATAACATATAAATAATGCAGACAGAATGAACATATCTACATAAAATTATTTAAATACGCATAAACATGCAGATTCATACATAAACTCAAGTCAGGGTTGAAGTTTCTTTCTTGTATCTCTCACCGTTTCGTTCATACTCTAAAAGTTGAATATCTGATATGGGACAAGATTCAGCATTATTCAAATAAAAAAAATATTTCATTCATCTTCTTCCTTTCAAATTTGGTCCCTGCAGTTGGACTCTTCTCCAAAAGAAATTGAGTAAATGTGGAATGCTTCAAACAGTAATGCGTTAATTCTTATTACTAATGGGAAGATGAAGCCTACTGCATTTGTATGAGAGGCTAATTAATTAATAGCCCCTTCCTTGTGAGCATCCCAATCTCATTGGTAAAAGAGATACTAAACATTCATGGGCAGGTTGAGGAAATGAATCAGAACGGGTTTTTTTTTTTAAGGTCAGACTCAATATGACTAGAAATCTATTTAGTACCTCTAAGATGTAGCTCAGGGATAGTCAACCGTAGCTCTTTTATGACTCGTGGACTTCAACTACCAGAATTCCTGAGCTAGCACAGCTGGCTCAGGAATTCTGGGAGTTGAAGTCCAGGAGTCATAAAAGAGCCAAGGTTGACTACTCCTGAATTGTAGCTATTTACATTTTCTACTCTTGCTCAAGCCAGAACTTATTGAGGTTAGAGTGGCAGCCAGCAGGGACTTCCTCTGCTGGGCTTGGAGCTTCAAATTTTAGAGGAAGAGAAGTTAATTTTGCAAGTGCTTACCCTTCCTGATTCCAAAAATAGCTACTGCATGATCAGTTGTTGTTCTAAGAGTTCTCTGTAATGTCATCATATCTGACTCTACCTGTGAGCACTTGGGATACAGGTGATGGATCATAATGGCAGGGCCTATTCAAACAGATTGATATATCACAATGTGTATCAAATCAAATTTTTACTATAGTCAAAGACCAGTATAAGGCGGGTGGGGTGCAAGAAACTAAAAGGCATAAAATTATACATAAAGGCATAAAATTAGAAACAAAAAGCTAAATATAAAGATCAAAAAAGAGTTTAAAAGAAGGGGTATGATTTGTAAATGGTTACAGGGAAACACAACAAATCTATCATAATACAGAGCATTCTAAATGACATACTGAGTCCTCCTTAAAAATGGTTATCTTCTGACAAATTTTAAGTGCAGCTGCACAGAATCTGGCAACGCTGTATGTTGTGGTGGGGTTGGTATCTGAGAGTAGCAAGGAAGTGCAGAATTGTCCTATGTATGGAGTGTTGTTCCCTCCCATTTATGTTCCCCAGCATCTGATATTCAAACAGTAATTGATTCCAGTCCTGGAGCTAAGATTTAGCCAGCATGACCAATAGTATTAACTTTATCATATATGAATTTATCCAATCCCTTTCTGAAACAAATTTATAATGATGAATAAGCTGTTGGTTAAAAAGTAACATCTCTTTTCAGTTACAATATAGTAACTTGCCACCTACATAAAGTATATCTCAACCAAACAGTAGCTAGGACAGTGAGTCAATACAATCATATTTATTGCTGCTTTTAAAAAGATTGTTCAATAGGAACAAACAAAGGCATTACTAGAAAAAATGTACCATTCTCAGTTTTAAAGTAGATTTGACAGAGTCAAATTCACTTCAGGTAAATGAACACTTTTTTTAAAAAAAAAATTTATATGCCGCCCAATCCCTAGGGACTCAGGGCGGCGTACAAAATTAAAACAATAAATATAACGATAAAACAATAAAATAAGTGCATTCATACAGTGTGTCCAGTCGTATCCCGGCCCCCCCGGGGGCATCAACCCCAGGCCTGCCGGAACAGGAGATTTTTAATGGCTTTCTTAAAGGCCGGCAAGGTGGGAGTAGTTCGAATCTCGAGGGGAAGTTGATTCCACCAGGTCAGAGCCACCACAGAAAAGGCCCTTCCCCGAGGGCCCACCAGCCAACATTGTCTGGTCGACGGGACCTGAAGGAGGCCCAATCTGTGGGACCTCACCGGTCTCTGGGAACTATGCGGCAGTATGCGATCCTGTAAGTAACCTGGTCCTAAGCCATGAAGGGCTTTAAAGGTGATAACCAACACCTTGAATTGCGTCCGGAGACCCACAGGAAGCCAGTGCAGCTCACGGATAGGTGACACGTGGGTGTACCTTGGTGCACCCACAATCGCTCTTGCGGCTGCATTCTGAACCAACTGCAGCCTCTGAACGCTCTTCAAGGGTAGCCCCATGTAGAGCGCATTACAGTAATCCAGTCTTGAGGTGACAAGGGCATGAGTGATCATGAGTAGAGCCTCCCGGTCCAAATAAGGCCGCAACTGGTGCACCAGGCGAATCTGGGCAAAGGTCCCCCTGGCCACAGCCGATAGATGTTGTTCCAAATTTAGCTGTGAGTCCAGGAGGACACCCAAGTTGCGTGCCTGCACTGAGGGAGGTAAATTTACCCCCCCCAGGGCTAATGATGGACCATCAGGATGACCCTTGGGGGGCAAGACCCAGAGCCACTCGGTCTTGTCAGGGTTGAGTCTAAGCCTGTTCACCCCCATCCAGACCCCCACATCTTCCAGGGACCGGCACATCACATCGACTGTTTCACTGAAAGGACACGGGGTGGAGATATACAATTGGGTATCATCCGCATACTGATGATACCTCACCCGGTGTCGCCGAATGATCTCGCCCAGCGGTTTCATGTAGATGTTAAAAAGGAGGGGGGACAGGATCGAGCCCTGAGGCACCCCATGATCGAGGCGCCTAGGGGTCGATCTCTGTCCGCCCGCCAAAACCGACTGCGACCTGTCAGAGAGGTAGGAGGAGAACCACCGCAATACGGTGCCGTCCACCCCCACCTCTCCGAGACGACGCAGAAGGATACCATGGTCGATGGTATCGAAAGCCGCTGAGAGGTCAAGAAGCACCAGGATAGAGGAATGACCCCTATCCCGGGCTTGCCAGAGGTCATCGGTCAGTGCGACCAAAGCAGTCTCAGTGCTGTAGCCAGGCCTGAAACCAGATTGAAAAGGGTCCAAATAATTCGTTTCATCCAAGGATCGCAAGAGTTGGGACGCCACCACCTTCTCTACAACCTTCCCCACAAAGGGGAGGTTGGAGACAGGACGAAAGTTCTTCAAAACATTTATACTGTCCTTTTTGACTTCATAAAATAAACTTTTTCTTTTATATTTCATAGATGCTGCTATTGAACTACTTACTGATTTTATCCATATTTGTGAAAAAGCATCAGGAATTTTTGCTGTGCAACATTCAAAGATAGCTGAATCTTTCTTCGTAAGCATTCTTTCCATTAACCTGCAGTTAGCTGACGTAGAAAACCTGAAATAAATCAGCATCCATATTAACTTGATTAAATCAATATCCTGTTACAGTTATTATATGCTGCTTTAATTTTACACATTTACGCGTTTGCAGTGCTCAGGCAAATATCCAAATACAAGCTAATAAGCTTCTGTGCAGTCACGTGATCAACATTTGTTTGCTTCTTTGCTGGCTTCCTACACCCAAGTCAATGGAGAAGCCAGCAGGAGGTTGCAAAAGATTATCACATGAAATCCTCCTTTCACAACCTGAGGTGATTCACTTAGCAATGGCAATTAGAAATACTAATGTCCAACTGCTAAGTAGCATGGTCACATGATCCTGCACTTTACAAACACATCACTTAGTGACAAATTACAACCCCAATTATCATTGTGAAGTGTAGCAAATATATTATGTGGGTAGATTGTGATGAACATCTTATAGTGGAGTTAAATAAATCTGACAAGAATACCTTACATCAATGGCATAATTTATCTTTCTTTTTCAGCGATACAAAGCTATCTCCATCAATTAAGTCCCTGTCAGGAATCAATACATGCAAGTTCTATTAAGAGTCTCTTATGATTCATAAGTGTTCATTTAGGGCCACTAGATCATGTTGTAAAAACTGTCCTATAAAACTAAGAAACCCAACAAATTATGTTTGCATAACATACTTCAAACTGAATTTTGCAGGAATGTTGTAAAAGAGTAAGTTGATTTATGAGCATGATAAGCTGTACTTACTATTTATAAAAGTATTTGTAAAATTATAGCTTTTTGGAAATCCATCACCACAACTTCAACCTATAAAGTATACTACATAAACAGTTGCTTAAAACACAGTATTATGCTGGTTTATAACTGTAGTAAAGTTTATACATTTAGCCATCCATAAATCCATGCATTCATGAATCCATCTATATATCCGTCGATTCATCCATGCAAAAGCAGTAGGGCGTAATGAAAGTCACAATTTACAACCATAAGTATAAATGAAATAACTATGTTAGAACAGAATTGCTATCACAGTTAACTGAGCTTTTGAATCAATTTTTTCCTGTTGGTTGCTTGGTTTTCTCACCATTGTTCTGATGTCAGAACAGAGCCTCGCCTTGATGCGTAGGGAGTATTTATGGGAATTTATACAATGATTCCATTTTGCTGGGCACTACTCATCTGATTCAATGGCAGGCAGCCAGACCTTTTCTTTTACAATGACACAAAGGTTTTCATCCTTGCTTTAGAGTGGGAAGTCTTTCACATTGTTGTGGATACTTTGTAGAAGCATGTCTCTTGTACTATTTAGTATTTAAATCAACTTCATGCATTACAAAATTTCTAAATGTAAAAATGTTTTCTCTGAAGAAACCACTACTATTAATGTTTATTTCATAATAACTCCGTTTTTGCATAGCTTATTTTGTATGAATAAAAAACAAATGTTATGATTTATATATAATATCTACATGTGAGTCACATGCTATTGCAATATAAAAATATTACATGACATAACTGCTAAGAATCATTAGCAATTGGAAAACATTGTTAGAAGCAGATAACTTGACAGGAACATCCTATTATAAATTGCAGTGCACATCTCACTGCTCCTCCTGCATTTCTAATGCTGCTTCTTTGGCCTCGCTGTTTATATTATTATTTTCATCACTTATTAACCTTTGACTCGTAGAATGAGTTCACAGATTATGAGAAGTCATGGAATATATTAATAAATAAGTTCTACAATATCTGTGTCTTAATAAGGACTTTTCCACAGTGCATTCTTCAATCACTTCCCTTCCTGTTTATAAACTGGCTGGAATTGTTAGAATAGAATAATCTGGAAGGGACCTTGGAGGTCTTTTAGTCCACCCCCCTGCTCAAATAGGAAAACCTATACCATGTCAGACAAGTGACTGTCCAGTCTCTTCTTAAAGACCTCCAATGATGGAGCACCCACAATTTCTGAAGGCAATCTGTTCCACTGGTTAATTATCCTCACTGTTAGGAAGTTTCTCCTTAATTCTCGATTGCTTTTCTCTCTGGTCAGTTTCCAGCCATTGTTTCTTGTCCTGCCCTCTGGTACTTTGGAAATGAAGCCAGCTTTAAGAAATCTGTTTCTGGATTTCAACACTTTCTTTTGCTTTGGTCATGGTGATGGCTTGGTGTTTAGGCTTGGTTTTCCATATCTTTTCCCCTTTCTGGAGGGAGAAAGAAAGGAAAGCAATTACTTGGGCTAGAAGGGGAAAGTGGCAGAATTCTTATCATTTTCAACTGGGTACACAATAAAAAACCAAAGCAAGCCTATTATTCCACTCTTCTAACAATGAATTTGTAAAACAAACAAAATGCCCAGCTTTTCATCATTCCATTGGTAAACTTGTAAAAAAACAACAACTAAAAAGATTACTTTTGATGTGAAACCAGAAAGGACAGGTGGAAGGTGGTGGAGAACCAGGTCATGCATTTGTGTCCTTGAGAAATGATGTGTGTGCTTGTGCTGGAATAAGCTAGAAGTGTAGACCCGCCCTGAACCTCTGATTAGAAATTACGTTCACAATTAAGTGATGTGCAACATAATAAAATATGTTTGGGTATCATTGGTTAAAAATGCACAAGGAGAAAGGAGGATTTTTGCTGGAAGAGCTCCTTGCTAAGAATTGGGGGAGGTAAAAACTACTTTCTATTTTTAATTCATCTTTAACCCCTGGATACATGTGTCCTCCTGCAACTGATAGGCTAGAATTTAAGTCCGCCAGTTGCCTGGATCTGTAAACCTAGGCAACTGGGTTTTTTTTTTCTAAAAAAAAAAAAAAAAAGGTACCGGAACTCACACTCGTCATACAACCTGCCTTTCCTACCCTACAAGGTGCTTGAACTCCGTTCTGGGCATTCTATGAGAAAAAAAGCCCTGTGTAAATCTATTTGCCCTTCAGACCATTGATTTGTTACAAAAGAAAAGTCCATTCATGTCTTCTTAGATGCAACTCTATGGCATATAGTAAGGCCTATATCCTGGGAAACGACTTGTACATTTATTGTTTTAGTTTCAGTAAAATGCAAATGTTCTATACGACAGTACAGCAGCAAGAAAATGCTAAGAAGGATTCAATTAGAATATATTTAGGCCTTAATCTTTCTCCTGTTAAATGTTTCACAGGAAAAGGTATGAAGGGTATGGAAAGAATTAAATATAAAGACACACCCAGAGATATACACTCTACTATAAAGAAAGAAACAGGAAAGGACCTAATTATATTTTCTGTTTTCTGAAGGATACACAGTAGGTTCCAGTAAAGCAGATTAAAAAAGAAAGAAAAGTTGCCAGGTACTTACGGATACAACTACAGACTAAAAATCATGCTTTCTGGGAATATTGTTACATGTATTCCCCACTATAAACAACATTTGTTTTCATATCTAGTTCCAGAGTTTTACAAGAGGGCTGGGGCAGAAGACAGAGCAAAAGGTGAGATTAACAATTGTAACAGAACAGGACTATCAGTGTTTTCCTATCAGAAAATAAGCTTCTGGTATAATACAAGTAACTGTTTGATTAGGATTGCTTGCTACAAGAAAAATTATTTCAGATTAGACATTAATTTAAACATTTGCTAATAGCATATATTAGTTAAAAATATGCAGTGAACAAGACTCAGGAACATCTGAAAACTATATTTAGTTTCTGATATGGCAGTCTTTCCTCATCCTGAAAATCTCACCAAATTTTTGCCCATTGTATCAATAGTGTGTATTGGGTGCTGCTTTCCTTTCATTTGGGGGAAACACAAGACTTATAACATTGGAAACATTATTTTTCATTCAATCTCATATATTAAAGGAAAATCTGTTCGCAAAAGTTTTCAAAATTTAATTGGAAATACACATCCTTCCAACCCTTCAGCAAGCAATGAAAAAATGCAAAAGAAAATTTATTATGGGTCTGGGCATGTCCAGCACAAATATTCTTGACATGCCCAAAGCATGTTCTGCAAAAGAAAGCTTGTTATGTGTCTGAGCACATTCAGAGTAAATAGTCTACGCATGCACAGGACATATTCTGGAAGGGTAAATGTCACTAAGTAAAGGGGACATGCTTTATATGCTCTGGCATACTTACAGAGATCACATTTGACATTTACTTTTTGAAGTCCTGCATGCTTTTGAAAAATAAAAGGCTATAATTTTGATGTTGGCAACCTATGACTATGAAAAAAGAGCGTAACATTCTACAACTCTTTTTACATCATTGGAGATACTCTTCAGTATCTTCTAGGGTGCAGTCTCCATGAAAAGAATATCAAATGCTGACCATCTCTTATAAAATCTAATCAGTTTTTGATAAATGGAAACATTGTTTTTTCAAGCAGATCTTTATTTGCCATAAGCAGTATTCCAATTTTCATGAAGCAGCAGTAGAACATGAGAACAATATAATATAGTATTTATCAGACAGTGAAATGGTTAATAGCCCCCTATAGGCTCTGTAAAGGACCTCTTACATCAATATAGGTAGTTCTCGACTTATGAGTACAATTGAGCCCCAAATTTCTGTTGCTAAGTGAGGCAGTTGTAAAGTGAATTTTGCCCCATTTTACAACCTTTCTTGCCATAGTTGTTAAGTGAATCACTGCAGTTGCTATGTTAGTAATAGGGTAGTTAAGGGAATCTGGCTTCCCTATTGACTTTGCTTGTCAGAAGGTCGCAAAAGGTGATCACATGATACTAGGACATTGCAACCATGATAAATACATGCCAGTTATCAGGTGTCTGAATTTTGATCACATGACCATAGGGATTTTGCAACTGTCATTAAGTGTGAAAAACAGTCATAAGTCACTTCAGTGCTGTTGTAAGTTTGAACTGTCACTAGCTGAACTGTTGTAAGTTGAGGACCTGTAGCGATGATTGGTATTCACCTTAAAAGATGGTCATTTCCACACTGTCTTTTAGTTATGTTGAACTATGAAACTAATCTAAACATTTATTATATACCTGGTCATGTAAGAAATTACAGGGTGTGGAAATTCCTTATTTCAAGACAGAAGAAAACATGATAAAAAGCTACCAAAGAAACAGGTCAAGACCTAGCTCAGGACAAGAGGCTTATAGTCTTGATAACTCCTAAGGGTCAGTTCCCTAGAAATTAAATATTATGTTCTGCCTAGATTAGCTCTAATAGCCTGATCTCATATATATTACAAAAAATTTCCAAAGAAACATAAAACATGCTAGAGAAAAAAGGAAAAACTGCATTTATTCCATTTGGGTTATTATGCTGTAAGTAGATGTTGCTCTGTTTATTGAGTAAACAGTTGACCTAAGATATTCCAATCTGCTACTTGGTTGTTTTTTTCTTGTTATCCAGTAAGCACTATTTCATATCAAGCTCATGAGAATGGAAACCTGGTTGTACAATAAAGTTCCTCTTTTGCCATGACATAGTGCAAAAAGCTGGGACTGGCTGTATCAGGCAACAAGATGAAGTAGCTATATCAAGCAGACAAATTTACAGGAAGAAAGTGATGTTCCAATGGAGCAATAGGAGTTTTAAAGTGATAGCTTTAGCATTGAAGCATTTCATACTCCACTTGAGTCAGCACACTGCCCTGAGATAACACTAGTAATAACTGAGGGAATATTACAAACTTAAAAGGAGCCTGAAGTAAGGCAGTTTAAATGTCTATGGCACTTTTATCTTACTATCTTAGATCCCACCTTAAATTGACCAAAGCAGTCTCATATAAAGAAAATTTGTATAAAATGTTTTATAGATGGTATATGACACCAGTTAAGATTAGCAAAAATGTTTAAAAATGCCTCGAATAATTGTTGGAAATGTAAACAAAGGCCAGGCACTTACTACCATGTCTAGTGGATATGCCCTAAAGCGAAAAAGTTCTGGCTTAAGATACACACATGGCTGGAAAAGATGACTAAAAGACAGATAGATTTTAAACCAGAACTGTTTTTGTTAGGAATATTAGGAGCTAAGTATGAGAAGGAGAATGAATATTTAATACTGCACGTACTGACAGCAGTGAGAATAGTATTTGCCCAGTACTGGAAAAATGAAAGGTTACCAACTGAAGAAATTCTAATTAAGAAAATTTTAGAATTTGCAGAAATGGATAGACTAACAGTATTGCTCAAAGAGAAAGAAGATTCAGTTTATTTTAGAACACGGGATAATTTTTACAAATGGTTAGGAAAACGAATGAGCGAGAAATGAATGCGATATGTTATCTTGAATATATATTAGTAAGAACAATGATATGTATTGACCAACTGATACTGTTTATGATTATCGTTTATTATAACTACAGCAGCTATCTACCATTATATTAATCAACATTAACTGAACATATGTGCCCAGACAACAATCTGCTTGCTAAAGCTTGAAAATATTATTGGGGGATAATCCCAATCTTGTTTCCAATCCCGCCCTAACCCCAATCCCGATCCTAACCCCACCAGAACCTTAATCCCTATCCAGATCCTAGCCCTTCCCAACCCTATCAAACTCAATAAAAATTTCTATAAAAAAAGGTCCCACCTTACCATTTCAATGGTGGCATGTTTTGCTTTAATTTGCTTTGCTTTATTTTTAGCAAGGCAGACAGCATTCTCCTCACAGTAGTATACGTAGAAATGTAATGGTTGTTCAGCTTTGTTATATAGGCAGTAACATGACAAATACTATGGTGTTTGTCATAGCGTGGAATTGCCTCCTAATGATTGGTTACACAACCATTGTAGTCTTGCCAAGTTGTTTTGAAAGGAGCTCCGTTTACACCTGCATGTACAAGCAAATTAACCGTCCAATCTTTGCATATGCAATAGGAGTCAGGATATTAGAACTGATTTTGCTTTTCAACTGAGAACTCTATAGACATGAAAAATAATTTGAAAGTATATTAATAAAACACGGAGTGTAAGAAAGCTACTAGTAAGTTTATTTGAATATTGTTCCGTAGGTTATATTGCTTACGTTAGATTCTAATATGCCGAGTTTAGACACAAAAGGGAGTGTGTGCTTAACTATAATCTTTTCGGGGTAAGTCCTGCAACATTTCATGCCATATATGGCTTGCAAGTGTGATAAAAGGGCAGAGCGATGTCTTCTTCCCTTATTTTGTCCCCTGGAACCTATAGCCCCGGCTGCACTGCGACCCACCGCACGCAGAAAAGCCCACCTCTTCTCCCCCGATACCAGGATGGGAAGAAAAAACGAGAGGAGCCTGTAGAAACTCCCCCTCCTCGCTTCTCCTTTCAAGATTCGCTCTGGAGCAGATAACTCTCGGCTTCGATCGCTTTCCGTTCCTCCAGTAGAGGGCACTCTGGGTGATCACAACTACCAGACGACGCGGGCAGCGATTGGCTCTTCCAAGAATTGACGTATAAGTCGGGGTGGGGAGAGGCGGCGCGAGGAGCGCAGTTCGGTGCGTGTGACTGGCCCAGCCCCTCTTTTCTTTCCTCTCTTCTGCTCTCCCGCCGGGCGCCTGAGGGGTAGTTTCTTAGCGGTTCGGAAGATCCGTTCTCGTTCTGCAACGGGTCTCCACCGTCGCCGCTCGGGTGCCCGGGAAGCAGCCGCTCCATCCTGCCCATCTTTCGCTCGCATTTTAGACTCTGCCAGCTATGGCCAAGGAGGAGAAGAAACCGTTTCACCAGTCTATGGCCGAGTGGCGGCAATTTATCTACAACCGAAACAGCGGAGAGTTTCTGGGGCGCACGGCCAAGAGCTGGGGTAAGGGCGAGTGGCGGGAGCGGGCACCCGGAGCCCAGCGAAGGGGAGGACGGGTCGGCGGGACCGGCTGGGTCGACCTGGAGCCCCTGCCGCCTTGGGTAGCCCCGGACTGACGGGGGACCACGAGGCGATCGGCGGGCCGGGAACAGCCGCGAGCGCCGAGCTAAAAATAGTCCAAGCGTGACAGCGCGAAGCTGCAGGAGGCGAGAGGGAGGAGGCGCCTTGAACCCACCGGAGAGGTGGCTTTGCCTCCCCTCCCCTCCCGGTTCGGCAGGGAGGGGACGGGAAAACTGTCTGGGCAGCGCCTCAGCAGATGCGGGCTCCTTGGTTGAAGGAAAGGAGGGTGTTTTCTTAATGCGTGTCCCCATCTGACTACCCGCCTTCCTCTTCCTGCTGGTCCCACTCCGCTGTCGGGGTTACAAAGGGACCACCCCCTGCCACCCGCAGGCTCCTCCTTTTTGGCAGCTGCGTCAGTGTGCGAGGGGGGGGCAGTGTCTCCTTCTCCCCCCAGTGCTAGACACAGAGAAGATCTCTCCCCTCGCCTTCTTGGCGTTTGGGGAGCTGTTGCTTGCCACGTGCTACAGTTCAAAGATGCCTCCGTCTTGCCTGTAGGAAGCTGCGCGGATGGAGGGGAAACCTCCAAAGCTCAACGAGGTGTACGTTATTTTCCACAGCCTGTTTTCTTTTCCTCCAAATCGTTCATTTTCAAGCATATTTTTCCTTCCATCTTACGTGTTTTGGACACGATGCTTTGAATGACCAGCCATGATCTACTTACAGAAGTGTTTAATATTACAAACTCTGAATTCGCAGTTTGCCCTGGAAACTTCAAACTGCTTTCAATTAATTAGTTCATTCAGAGGAAGAGTAATATGAGGAAGTTATAGAAATATGCCAAGTAGAAGCATGGAATTGAAAGACGCACTTGCCTGAAGAATAACTTGCAGCTACAATGCAGTGAGATATTTTATTTTTGGGTCTTTTTGTGCTTCAGGCACATGGTCAGAATGATGTGGAATAATTGAAAACAGAACACATGTGTATTCTATTGCCAAGAAGTGTTTACTGTGCTGTGAATTTTTCATCATTCATACAAAAGTGGGATTCTTTTCTCTTTTTTTAGAAATTGAGGACTAGAAAGGAAATTTCCATTCTGCCCTAATGACTTCCTTTCCCTGGTTTACCTTAAAAGTGTATGTACTTACAACTGAATGTGGACAAGGAACATAGAGGAATATATGTATGTTGATAAATGGTGCAATGTTCTTCATCATTTTAATTCTTTATGTTATGTATGTATACCAGAGTAATATAAATGATATTTCCTTTGTATATTCCCAGTGGAATAGATATCTGTTGCAGGAAAAAATAAGTCTTGTACAGATAAATATTTTAAAACTGTAATGAGTTAAATCTTTGAATATTTTCTTTTTAATATTGTTTCTGATGAAAATGGATTTTCTAAAGGGTATTAAAGTGCAGTTAACTTTTTTAATGCATATCCTGGCAATATGCTTATGGTATGATTTGCTAATTGGCATGCCACCTTGTTTTTGTGTGTGATACCATTCTTCATGCTTAATGTACATTCTATGTACAAATAAAACATTTGAATTTGTCTGTTTTAAAAGCTTTGCTAAATTGTAAGCAATTTTTTAAATGGAGCTACTATATTTTTCATATATAAATTATATTATGCATGAAGTGAACAAAATTTAGTTGTAAAGAGATATGAAATGATATTAAATGGCTGTGAAATGAAATATCAAAGGAATATTTTTTATAGAGGCTAGAGAGAAAAAATTGAGAACAAAGCGGATACACATATTACAACATTTGTTTTGCCTGTGTGACCTATAATTATTTCTCTGTGTTATTGATAACTTCAATATTTGTAGATACTCTCAATTTAATTACATGATTATTTAAAAGCCTTTTACTCTCACTATATAAAAAAACCCAATGAGTTGGATGTAAGTGTATATGATTTAGAAGCATGAAAGATCTAGAATGCCTGGAGAAAAACATCCCTTCCCCCCTTTCTGGTTCTCAAATTTATAAACAATATGCCATCATGAAAATATATGGATCCATATAGGTCTATGATGTTTAATAAGCATAGTTTTTCTTTACTCTTCATCTGTCCCTAAATGTTGTTATCCAGCTCTTACCTTCCATAGAATTACCAACTTCATGGAAAGCAGGTAGTTAGGGCAAAACTGATTATACAGTTCCCTATGATGTTTGTATCTAGGAGTGAATCCTAAATAATCAGTTCCCTCAATTTACTACTAGGATGGTTGAGAAATCATCCATTTTGATTTGAGGACTGGATCTTGAACTTTAGAAATAACCTGATTTACTCTGAATTAGTGGGGCTGCCCAATTTGATATGATTGCTGAATCAAGAGAGGGACCTTCCCTCCCATAATCTATTATATGGAAAACTCAACTGTTCTTTTCCCAAACTAGGGAATGTTTTTGGAAAAACCCAATAATTAAGAATAGATCAGTGTACCAAGCATTTTAGAACTATATGATGATTTCAGATTCTTCTACACCAGCCTATAAATGAAAAATAATGTTAAGTTAAAATTCGGATCATAAGGAAACTTAAAATGCACTGAATGTTTAGTGGTTGCCTTTTACAGAAAGTGCAGTATATGTCATTTGTTTCATGCTGGAGTGCAGTATGTAATCTGTTTCATATGCCTTCCTTTTATTTAATATTTATAAGTTCATATCAGCCTGAGCCAATGTGGGTTGTAATTAATTTTATAAGAGTTATAGTCCAAAATTTATGGAGAACACTATTTTGTCACTGTGCCTTGGATTTTAATGCTTCTCTTTTGCTTTTAGTATTGCCATGAGGAGGGTTTGTATTATTCAACTCAGTAACCTAATTAATTTAAATTGTAGTTAGTGGTATAAATGGGTTTATAAGACTTTGTTTTCTTTAATAATAGTCAAGATTATCCACAGTTTTAACAATATTTTAATATCCTTGAGAAAGATTCTTATAACTGTGTTGTAATAAAAAGATACGATTTTGCATTATTACATCATTCCAATTCTTACTGAAATTCAGTTTCTATAAAACTGTGGACCTAGAGTAGATACAGTGATTGGCAGAATGTATTACCGTATATTCCGGCGTATAAGACGACTTTTGAGAACGATGAAACAGCCTCCGAACTCGGGGGTCGTCTTATACGCCGAATCATAACATTTATTTATTTATTTATTATTTCCGTCGTATAAGATGACGTTCTAGGCATGCGACTCGGTGTCAATCATCTTATACGCCGATGTCGATCATCTTATAAGATGATCGACACCGAGTCGCATGCCTAGAAAGTCATCTTATACGCCGGAAATAACGTTATAAACTACGTTTATTTCCGGCGTATAAGATGACTTTCTAGGCTTGCGACTCGGTGTCTATCATCTTATACGCCGGAAATGACGTTATTTCCGGCGTATAAGATGATCGACACCGAGTCGCATGCCTAGAAAGTCATCTTATACGCCGGAAATGACGTCATTTCCGGCGTATAAGATGATCGACGCCGAGTCGCATGCCTAGAAAGTCGTCTTATATGCGACTCGGCGTCGATCGTCTTGCGACCCGGCGTCGAACTCGGGGGTCGTCTTATACGCCGGGTCGCCTAATACGCCGGAATATACGGTACTTACCTGTTAAATCTTGCTGTATTACAGATAGTCCTCAACTTATAACCATTCGTTTAGAGTTCAAAGTTACAATGGCACTGAAAAAAGTGTGACCGTTTTTCACACTTACAACTGTTGCATCCCTGTGATCATGTGATAAAATTTGGATGCTTGGCATGTGTTTATGACAGTTGCAGTGTCCCAAGTCATGTGATCACCTTTTACTACCTTCTGACAAGCTTAGCCAATGAAGAAGCTAAATTCACTTAACAGTCATGTCACTAAACTGCAGTGATTCACTTAACAACTGTGACAAAGGTCGTAAAATGGGGCAGAACTCTTTTAACTGTCTTGCATAGCAGTAGAACTTTTGGGCTCAATTGTGGTTGTAAGTCGAGAGCTACCTGTATTATCAAAACCATACCCAAGTTATCAAAAAAAAAAAGAATGAATAAATTCTTAGCAGTGATAGTTAGAATTCCAAGGATGGAAATGTTGCAACTACTCAAGATGAGTTGAAATTCCTAAAAAAAGAGAGACTAAAAGCATAACTGCAAACAATTCTAATGTGAAATAAATATTGATTGTATTCTTAATTTTAAAAAAGAAAAATCTAATTCATGGGTATAGACTGAGATGTGTGGCTTGTAAATTGTTCTTTTCAGAAAGATTGTGGAGAATTAGTTTATTACAGTTTGAATATGGATCAGCAATGTGATGTAGCTGCAAAAAAGAAATGCCATTCTAGATATCTTTAGATAGCAGAACTGAGTACTTTATATACAAAATGTCAGATTCTGTATATGATATTATCTCATTTCAGATTATAGAACATAGAAAGATAGTTTTAAGTTCAGGGCAGATTTTAGCTGAACATTAGAAATGGTACAGTCCTAACCAATTAATCTGAGAGGAAGTACGGTCCTAGTTACTAAATATATTCAGGCAGCTAACTGTTGTGCATGCTTTCATTTGGGTCCCACTGTGATGAAGTGGTTGATCTAGTTCAGAGATGTCAAACTCGCGATGTCATGTGATATCGCGCAACGTATCAGCTTTTTCCCCATTGCCAGCAATGGGGTGGGCACATTTTCCTGGTGACGCGTCCGGCCCGTGGGCCGGCAGTTTGACACCCCTGTTCTAGTTGGTGCCTTCTAATTATTTGCCTCCATGTTCTCAAAGAGAGAGGTCTGCATTTCCTCAAAATAAACATAATCAGTTTTTAAAAGTTCAGTTATATTGCTGTACTGGATTATTTTGGAAGTATTCCTGAAAGAAATGCAAATGAAAGAAAAGATTTATTTAACTAAATCAGAAAAGAGAAGCAA